CAGGAGGGAACATTTCATTTAAAAGTCAGTGAAAGTGATTTTGTGCTTCTTTGGGATGGCACAATAAAGCAACGTTCACTTGCAGAACGCAAGCTCCTAGAGGGCACACAAGTCTGAAGTAATGAATTTAGGTAAAGGGGTGCAGAGCCAGTGGTGGTTTTGTAGGCAAACATTAATGCCTTGAATTTAATGCGAGCAGCTATTGGTAGCCAGTGCAAATTGATAAACAGAGGTGTGACGTGCCTTCTTTTTGGCTCATTAAAAATTAATCTTGCAAGGCAAGGTTGAGTTGAAGGTGATGGTCCTTCATCAAGCAAGAAATGTCTGTTAGACAAGCTGAGATGCGAGCAGCTATCGTCGAATCATCAGGATGGAATGAGAGGTAGAGTTGAGTCATCAGCATAGCAGTGATATGAAAAGCCATATTTCTGAATGATAGAACCTAGTGATGCCATGTAGACAGAGAAGAGAAGTGGTCCAAGAACTGAGCCCTGAGGCACCCCAGTAGTTAAATGTTGCGACTTGGACACCTCACCACTCCAAGGTACCTTGAAGGACCTATCTGAGAGGTAAGACTTAAACCACTGGAGTGCGGTTCCTGAGATGCCCTTTGCCAATATAGTTGGCCGGGAGGATCGGGGGTTTACCCGTGTCAAAAGCAGCGGACAGATCCGGCAAGATAAGTATTGAAGATTTAGAATGCGCTCTTGCCAGTCTTAGGGCTTCAACAACTGAGAGCAAGGCAGTCTCAGTTGAATATCCACTTCTGAAACCAGACCGGTTGCTGTCGAGGAGGTTGTTCTGTGTGAGAAAGGCAGAGACTTGGTTGAACACAGCTCATTCAAGTGTTTTTGCAATGAAAGGAATAAGGGAAACCGGTATGTAGTTCTCTAAAAGAGATGGGTTAAGGGTGGGTTTCTTAAGTAGTGGGGTTATACAAGCCTGTCTAAATGCTGAGGGAAAAACACCAGTGTGAAGGGATGTGTTAATGATGTGAGTGAGTGCAGGTAAAACTGCAGGAGAAATGGCTTGAAGGAGATGAGATGGAATAGGATCAAGCGGACAAGTAGTAGGATGATTAGAAAGGATTAGTTTGGAGACTCAGAGAGTGAAGAGAAGGATGTGATCGAGTGTATGTTTGCTGGTAAGATGTGCTTGACAGATTGTGGAGTGGAAAATTGTGCACTGATGGTTTTAATTGTATTAATGAAGAACGTGGCAAAGTCATCAGCTGTTAGAGTTGATGAAGGAGGGGGAGGAGGAGGACGAATGAGCGAGGAAAATGTTTTATAGAGTATGCGAGAGTTAGACGAATTGTTAATTTTGTTATGATAGTATGTCCTTTTAGCAGTGGAGACATTAGCAGAGAAGGAAGAGAGGAGTGACTGATACACATTAAAGGGTTAGTTCACCCAACAATGAAAATTTTGTCATTAATTACTCACTCTCATGTCGTTTCAAACCCGTAAGACCTTCGTTCATTTTCGGAACACAAATTAAGATATTTTTGATGGAATCTGAGAGCTGTCTGACCCTGCATAGACAGCAACGCAACTGAAATGTTCCAAAGTCCAGAAACGTAGCAAGGAGATCGGTAAAATAATCCATGTGACATCAGGGGTTCAACCGCAATTATACGAAGCTACGAGAATACTTTTTGTATGCAAAAGAAAAAAAAACGACTTTATTCAACGATTCGTCTCCTCTGCATTACCCTGTAAACAGCGTATGCTGTTCTGTGTCAGCTGCATCAAGCTGTTTCCGTTCAGATCAAATCACAACAATGTAGGAAACAGATCCGGCGGGACGCAGCTGACACAGAACAGCAGACACTGTTTACAGGGTGATGCGGAGGAGACGAATTGTTGAATTAAGTCGTTTTTTTTTCTTTTGCACACAAAAAGTAACTCTCTCTTGAGATCAAAAGAGGCAAGCAGAGTGTGGAAGTCTGCAGCCTGAGACACTGTTTACAGGGTGATGCGGAGGAGACGAATTGTTGAATTAAGTCGTTTATTTTTCTTTTGCACACAAAAAGTAACTCTCTCTTGAGATCAAAAGAGGCAAGCAGAGTGTGGAAGTCTGCAGCCTGAGGTTTATCTAGGTGGACGTTGAAGTCTCCAAGCATAACTAGGGGAGTACCGTCCTCAGGAAAGGTTGAGAGCAGCACATCTAATTCATCCAATAAGTTACCTTGTGGTCCTGGGGGTCGATAAACAACTACAAAATGGATTTTGAAAGGGTGGGTAATAGTGAAAATAAATACTTTTATTGTGTCAATATGTGCATGTAGTCACATACAACAAAACCTTAGAAAGAACCACTTAAAGTTTATTTGGAAAATGTAAGAATCTTTTTTTTTAATGCTTTTCTATTTTTTGTTATTTTGTTTTAATTCAATTATATATATATATATATATATATATATATATATATATTTTATATATATAATGTTAGCAAAACCCCTTGAATCTGAATCCTTAAGCCACTGAGATTCTCTTTTCCACATTTTCTACAGCATGACCCTGGACCGACTCTTCTTTAATGCATTTAAAAACACATTGTAGACTGTGTAAAAATGAAAGGGGAAAGGGTTGACACTGACTTCACTTGAAAAGACTACCACAACAAAGAGCCCAAAACAGACTTGCTTCTGTAAGAAGTCAATAAACCATGATTAATAATTTAGCTTCTCTTTCTTTTCTCATAACTCAACACGAAAACACAAACGGGGCTTTACAATGTGCTACACTAAACAGGCCAAGGACATTTTAAAAGCTGCATCAAAAATCTTCATTTTTCATTTTTCAAACTTTAACTTTAAGTGCTACACGTGGTACACAGTGAGATGTTATGGCAACACTTAAGGGACAAGGATGCCATATTTGTTGTTACAACATGGTGATAAATTGGAAAGGCTGGAAGTCCTGTACCTGAGTCTTACTTTTGACTCAAAAGGCCTAAAATGGGGCATTCCTGCAGCTAAGCTCAACCAGTTGCAAATGGAGGTTGCAATGGCAAGGTCATGGGTTTGATTGTCAAGGAACACATGCATTGACATGTATGAACCTTGAATGCAGTGCAAGTTGCTTTGGATAAAAATGCATTAATTTAAATGTGAATGGTTTATATGGCAATGTCTCTCAATCTTTTAAAAAAAAAAAAGTTTTGAGAGATATCAACTTACTGAGTGCAGAAAAAAGCAACTATATAAAATGCCCAATAATTGGCTAGGACATGTACATGATATGTTCACTTCCAAAGGATAATCAGAGACAATTACAATCCCTTAATACTTTTTTTTTATGTATGAACCTTGAATGCAGTGCAAGTTGCTTTGGATAAAAATGCATTAATTTAAATGTGAATGGTTTATATGGCAATGTCTCTCAATCTTTTAAAAAAAAAAAAGTTTTGAGAGATAACAACTTACTGAGTGCAGAAAAAAGCAACTATATAAAATGCCCAATAATTGGCTGGGACATGTACATGATATGTTCACTTCCAAAGGATAATCAGAGACAATTACAATCCCTTAATACTTTTTTTTTAGGGGGGGGGAATTAGCCTCTGTGAAATTCTAAAAAAGCATGAGAGGCATCGCCAAATAAACCATACACTTCAACAATGCAATTATGTCTTTGCCCATAATGGTCCAGAAACATCACCGTTCTTGTCCCTGGGAGCTCTAGCTAACAACTCTTCTGCAGCATGCTGTCCCCGCGGGCAAACACAATGATTCAAACGTTTAATTCAAATGCTTGAGATGACAGACCGGAGATAAGGCGAATAAGTGACTAAATCCAGTTTTGCTGAGATTTAACACCTTATGTGAGCAAAAAATTGCTAACAGAAAACAGTATATTAACTTGTGACGAGAAAATAATCTTTAAATCACTGGAAAGTGCTGTTTTTGACACAGTACTGTATCTTCCATGGTTAAAATGTAATGTATCTAGACTATTGCGTATGATGAATTAGCTAGTGTTACTGTGCTACGTTATTGGCTCCCTGGCAAGATACTTCAGCGTAAAAAGATTTCGTTAATATTTTTAAGCTATGTACACATTGTAGGTGTGAAATTCATGTATGTTTAATGCATGAGACGTGTTACTGTTAATCTCTGAAAACAGCAGAGTCAGCAATAACTTCTCTATTTTAATCAATTGCATGCATGCAGATCAACATCTAGCATAGATCTGGGAATCTTTTCAAGCATATAGCAGTTTCTCTCAACCATTTCTGCAGTGCTTCAAGAATCTCCATTCCTCATACTTTCAAGAGAAAGCTTTTTCTTTTTATGTTATGGGAAACTTCAAGGTTATGGTGGTCAGATAAATTAGTGGCAATATGATGATGCAGCACCCTTTTCCTGTAGGTTGATGGCCATTTATTACATTCGGGATGAGTTTAAAGATTTTAAAAGATAAAACCCATCCTAGCTCAGAGATACAGATGACCAATCTCTCATAGTGACTGCATGAGCAGCCCAGGTGCTGTGTCAAAATGGCTGGTGAAATTGGCCTACTCTGTTTCTAGCAGCTGAACACATTGCTCTGGACAGCTCTTGGCCAAGCTAGTCACAATTCAATTTCCTGACTCATTCATCAAGCACTTGGGGTGCTTGGGTCACAGGCTGGGCCAGCTCCCCAACGTCCCGTTCATCCGGAGTCCACCATCGATAAGAAGGCATTAGTCTACCTCTGCCAGCTCATCTGAAAGGGCTGGAGAAATCAGGCAGAATTTGTTTTCAGTTTGACAACCTGCTGTCCAGCTGAATAAAAAATCGCCCCAAAGCATAGATTCAAGAAGCCAGATAGGAGAATACTTGTATGATGCACAAGTTCACCATTTGGTGGTGTAATTTGCAGTTGAGTGGTGTGACGAAACTTGATCACTTGCTTGCATTGTAGACTGGAAGCAGAAACTATGCAAAACACTAAATTAAGTTATTCAACATGCATCAAGGCCTTCACAGAGACTACCAAGATTTGAAGTCTTACCTCATTGTGTAGAGAAGAGTTCCGTTGTCTACCAGCCGCAGAAGTTTATTGGGTGTAGTCATATTGTGGGCTACTGATTTCTTCCCATTGTGGAAGAAAGTATCCGGAGTCCAAATCTTGCTGGCGAGCAAGTTGTTAAGTGGAAGGACCTGCATAGGCCCATCAAACTTCAGCCTCTCATCCCGCCAACTTTGCCGGAAGAACACATCAATCGTGTATTCCTAGAGGAGAAAAAAATAAATTAGTCAAGACTTTCTGACAGCCCTTTTTAAACATCACTTCACCCCCAAGTGTGCTGGCATGTGAAGCTCTTCTCCAATCTCGGCAAATGACTCAAGAACATGACTTCACATTTAACAGATTTTCCTGTTTGGCTGGCCTTGATTGGTCAAGATGCTTTTTTCAGTTGTACACTTCAATAATTCATCGCATTTTAAGGAGAGATGCAGCCTTGTTGGTGCGAGATCCTTAAGGCTCCTTCAAAAGTTCAAACTCGAATGATTGCGTTTTCACAGCTGTCGCTGGAGGGATAAAACAAGCTTTTTCCAAGAGTTATCTCTCTGACCATATTGCTAACACGGAACAGGGGACACTGTCCTCAGTGAACCTCTGCTGAGTTGGGAATAGAAATCATCTCAAATCAACAGCGTCTTCTCCAGTGATGAGAATCGCTCATCTTTTAAGGTTTCCATTATTGATGAGGTAATCCTCTACAGGTTCTCTATGGGAACAAACATCAAAATAAATCTTATATGTTTACATTTAATAAGTCATCTAATGCCATGAATAAAAATAGTGGCAAAATTCAAAGTTCTTCAGGAGTTAAAAATGAATGTTGAAATCTTTAGAACGCCACATTAATCATTCAGTAAGATCTGTAACTGAATATTGTAACTGAGTATGTGACAGCAAACAATTACAGGACATGTCTCTTTTTTTGTTTTATGTTCTGCATTACATTCGAGAACTATGAGCTTTTTGTCACGCTTCACAAGGTCCAATTTGCTGCAAAGATATTTGGGAAGCAACAGACGGGAATCTATGTTGCCCAGTCAATCAGAAATGTCAAGAAGCTATTGCACAAAGGGAGAAAACAAGTCAGATAAAACCACTCATTACAAATGCCTTCCAGGCTTCAGTAGAATATTTTGCCATGATGGCAAGAAATCATACCGGCTGTTTCTCAGTGAATGACGGGTTGAGTTTTCAGCATTAAAACGTGTATGCTTGTCATGTGCATGCCGGTGTACATCATTTATTTAGTAAGCTCCAGATTTCTATCTGAAGTAGTTTCAGATTAAAGTTCTGTGAGTACTTCAGTTCCCAAGAAGTAGTCTGTACATCACAAGAAATGAAAGCTGACACCAAATGACATCTACATCAGAAAGCACAGGAATGAGTTAAACAGGATTTTCACAATCAAATTCAATGATTATAAAACCTAAGGAAATAAAATGAATACCATTTAATACCAGAATAAACCCACACAATCTCAAAAGGCATCATGTATCACAGATTGTTTTTCATCACTAAGACAGGCTGTGACACACATTGGACGAGGCCTTGGAACTTGAAAACAGGGAGTGGAGTTGGAGTGGACTGATTACAGAATGCTTTGAGCGAGGAGGGGAAATTACTGTTGATTCACTCCATTATACTCACACATACTTCACTCAGAGTCCCCTTAACTCGGCAGAGTAAATCTAGCTTAATTGTCGTCTGTCTTTCCATCCTCAAATTTAAGACCTCTTCAAATGGTTAAATTAATTTCTTAATGCTATTTAAGATATTTAAGAATTTTTACTTCTTTAAAGTTTAATGAATTTAAGATATGTTAATACTGTTTAAGGCAGAAGAAGTGTTTGTAGCCTAGACATTCATTAAAAATATGTCAGGTTGGTGGTGTGCTGTTATTTATTTAGATTTGTATGGTAAAAAATACTGTTTCTATTTTGAAGTGAAAAGTTAAAGTTAGATCCACACAGTAAAAAATTATAGTAAATTTAACAGTAAACAATGTAAACATGCTACCTGTTAGTTCCCTGTTTACAGTATATACAGTGAAAACCTGTAGGTGTGGGAATCTTTAGGCAGCTCACAATCTGTTCAGATTCAGATGTTTTTTTTCCTGTCCTTAAAGGGGTCCTATTATGCTTTTTCACTTTTTAAATTTTAGTCAGTGTGTAGTGTGTATGTTTGGGCATTAAAAAGATCTAGAAAGTTACAAATCTCAAAGTCTCCAAAGGGAGATATTTCGTTTTTTAAAAATCCCTTTTCAAGAACTGCAACGAACGGCTCGTTTGGACTACAGCGTTTGTTTTCCAAAGCGGCTCATTGGAATATCATTACAAATAATTCCCGCCTACAAAAATTTGAATGGTTGGGGGGTGGGGAGGGGCGAGGTTGTGGTTAGAACGCTTGGTTGAGTGACTGCATCAGACGAGACGACGAAGAAGAAGTGCTGCTGCAGAGTTAGTGCATCAGAGAAAACCAAGAAGCGTCGGACTATACTTCTGCGTCGGACCTACGCCGTAGCTTACGCATAGACGCACACCCATACATATAACACGACGTAGCTGGGCGCCGCGGACAGACGCCGAACGGCGCCTCCGGTGTGGCTACACTCATAGAAAATAATGTATTTGAATTTTAAAGACGTGGCGCGACGCTGCGCATCTCGTCCGGTGTGTGACCGCCTGAAACGCAGTTTTTTTCACCTCCGTGCCCAAACGTCTTGGTTTGGGCTTCCGAAGGCGGATGATGCCAGGAAACAGTGGTTGCAATTTATTTTTTAACTCTGTTCCTGAGCATTATAACCCCAATTTGCTATTGTGTGCTGCGCATTTTACTGAGGACAGCTTCCACAGCACTAGTGAGTAGTGCCGGATTCACCAAAAGCTTTTGTTGAAAGACGGAGCAAGGGGCGTGGCAGTACTGAAACACTGTCTAAGCTGTTCGCCAATCACAACGCACTGGGACAGCTAACCAATCACAACACATTTTGTTTTTCGGAAGGCGGACCTTCATCAAAGCCGGAACTAATCGAGCCGTTTGTGCCAGGATGGGGAGAAAGGTATTTTAATAATGTAAATTATGTGAAAAATAATGCGTTTTTCAAACCACCAAGCATGAGAGCATGTTCTAGTACACCCCCAAAACAAAATCAAGACTTTGTAAAAGAGCATAATAGGACCCCTTTGAGAAATAACTGACTGTGTTTACATTAATTTCACATCATAAACGCATTTTAAAGATGCAAGTGCATTTATCTACTTACACAGTTGCGCACAGCCGCGAGCATGCATAAAAACAAACACACACAAAGCACACATAAGCGTTTGAAAACAGCTATCTGTCAATAAGTGAGTTTCATGTATTGCATTTTTATTGTATTCCAAAAAAGACAAATTATGCCTATTCAGTGTTTTGTGTTTGTGTGTAACTGGCAGCTAGGGTTAGGCTGATAGACGATGCCATTGTCCATACAATGTTGAGTTGACATCGTGATTCCCCCACGTCTGCACAGCTTTCAAAGTAAACTCAACCGCGGATTAGCGCGGACGGATGAGCTTGACGCATGCACAATTTCACCTACTTGACTAGTTCTGTCTCAACATTCACCTCACGCATGAGCTGTTGTACGCGGAGCACCACGAACACTTCTGATGACAAAAAAAGCGTTGCTGTTGCTAGGAAACATCTCAAGCTACGCATGTAACTATGGTTCCCCAAGAGGGAATGAGACACTGCGTCCTCTATTGGACACTATGGGGAATGCCATCAGCATAACTGGTGTCTGAAGCATGTGTGTAAACACTCCAATCCATTGGACCACCTCGCCCGTGATGTCATTAGCGGCATGCCTGGAAGTATAAGAGGGCAGCTGTAATTCACATCATCAACTTCTTTGTCTGAAGGAGACGTGAAACAGGCAGGAACTAGTCATGGCAAGGGGACACAGTGTCTCGTTCCCTCTCAGAGAACCATGGTAACATGTGTAACCCGAGACGTTCCCCTTCAAGGGAAGTCGCACTGCGTCCTCTAGTGGACACAATGGGGAATGAAATCCCCACTATGCCATGCCTCAGTGCATTGCCTGTCCACATGGAGAGAGCGCACCAAAAATAGTGGCAAACATACACTGATTAAAAAAGGGGGGCACACCAAGACACCTGGACAGCTAAAATAACTTGGGGAAAATGGGGAACCCAACCAAAACTAATATTTTAAGGAGGGACATTCCATTCAGCCAAGTTGGGAACACAACTGTCCTCAAACAGGCAATGGAGGCAATGGGCCATCTACTTGATATCCAAATGTAAGGGAGACAGGTAGGGAAAGAGCTCACACTCCGGGGGTAGATCTTATCAAAGGAAACCAGCCTCAACCGGTAAATCTTTGACAAAAATGCTTTCCAAATAGGGAGCATAAAAAGAGACTCAACCTATAGTCATGTACCGTCTACTTCAACACCTCAAATTACAAGGGAAACAGCCCAAGGCAAAGAGCAGCCCAAACCCATACATGCAGACCAAATAGAGGGAGCAAGGAACTCTACTTAAATATTCACATACTAAGCGAGGGACATCTCGCTCCACTTAAGCCAAAGAGCAGCTAGTTAAAGGGAAACTGTTCTCAGACAGCTACCAACTTTGATGTTTCAGGTGGGTCACCGTAAATACACTGGAGGCAACCTGACCTGAGAAGCTGCTAAGAAGAGAGCAAGGAACACAACACGCATTAAGCATGCTAAGTTCGAGCATCACTATAATCCTTCCAAGAGCCGTATGTGCTCATGCAAACGCTGGCTACTATCCCTCGGGAGAGAACAGAAAAGAAAAGCTCTTTGATAAAAGAGGAGTGAGGCGAGAGAAATAAAAAAGGAGAAAACATCCCTCCCAGAACAATACGGGACGTAACAGTATTCTTTTTTTTCTAATTTATTTAATTAAAAAACCCTGCTTTATGTACTGTGCTTTTTTTAAACAGTGCATAACATAAAATGACCCCTTCAGGGTTGAGGCAGAAGCACCATAGTGAGGTCATTGATTAATCAATATTATAATTATAATTAATGCACATTTTACACATTCATTCTTCTATCTGAATAATACATTATTGCTAATACTGCATACAGGGTTATGCATGAAAGACAATATTTCTCAACAAAACATGGACAAAACAAAAACACATGCAAATATTGTACAACTTAAATATTGCA